TCAACATGAACACTGGCAGCAAGCTATGACAGAAGAGTTGATGGCTCTCGAACAGAATAAAACATGGACTATGACTTCACTACCAAAGGGAAAGCATGTCATTGGATGTAGGTGGGTATATAAAGTCAAATATAAAGCTGATGGAATAATAGAACGTTATAAGGCTCGTTTGGTTACAAAAGGACACACACAAAAGGAAGGTTTAGATTATCTACAAACCTTTGCACCAGTAGCAAAAATCACAACTATCAGGTTGCTTCTATCCTTAGCATCTATGCACAATTGGCATTTAAAACAATTAAATGTAAACAATGCTTTCTTGCATAAAAATTTAGATGAAGAAGTTTATATGCAATTACCTCCAGGTTTTAATAAGAGTCATGTTTGTCACCTTCATAAATCTTTGTATGGCCTTAAGCAAGCTAGTAGACAGTGGTATTCTAAGCTTTTTGATTTCTTGAACTCTCACAATTATAAACAATCTTTTGCAGATCATTCTTTGTATCTTAAAATTAATGATTCCCACATTACGGCTTTACCCATATATGTAGATGATATTATTTTAACTGGGAACGATATCAATGAAATAAATACAGTTACTACTCTTCTTGATCATGCTTTCAAAATTAAAAATCTAGGCAACTTGACATATTTTCTTGGTTTTGAAATTGCAAGGAGCAGTAAAGGTATACATTTTTGCCAACGTAAGTACACTCTCGATATCCTGAAAGAAGTTGGAATGCTTGATTCTGCTCCAATCTCTACGCCTATGAATTTTTCCAGACACAAGACTACAGAAATAGGAGAACCCCTCCATGATCCAGCTCCCTTTCGCAGGCTTATTGGCAGGTTAATTTATCTAACACACACCAAACCAGATATTGCCTTTGTTGTCCATTATTTAAGTCAATTCATTGCTGCACCTACAAATCTTCATCATCGGGCTTCTATGAGAATTCTCAGATATCTCAAACAGCACCTTGAGCAGGGTATTTTCTTTGATTCTACTAGCAACTCCACACTCAAAGCTTTTTGTGATTCTGATTGGGCTAGTTGTCCTGATACTCGCCGATCCATCACTGGCTACATCATCTATCTTGGAAATTCTCCAATTTGTTGGAAATCTAAGAAACAACAAACAGTTTCCATAAGTTCTTCAGAGGCAGAATACCGTGTTATTGCCTCCACAACATGTGAAATATAGTGGCTTCATCACCTTATGCAAGATCTCAAAATTCAACATCAACAACTTTCTCTTTTGTATTGTGACAACCAATCTGCGATTCAAATTGCATCTAATCAAGTCTTTCATGAACGAACCAAACACATCGAAATCGATTGTCACTTGATTAGAGAGAAGATAAAACAAGGTCTAATTAAAATTCTTCACATCAGCACTCATCACCAACAAGGTGACATTTTCACAAAACCTCTTCCCCCTGCTACTTTTAATAATCTTATGTCCAAGCTAGGAATTCTTGACATTTACTCGGGGGACTGTCAAAATAATCAACTCCATAACAAACTTATCCCCTTCAATCACAACGTTTGTTACTTTATATATATATATATATATATATATATATATATATATATATATGTATATATATATATATATATTAGAAGAATATATTTTTATATAAAAGAGAAAAATAATATCTCGTTTTCATCTTCGAAGAATGTGTTTGTTGCTCTCTTTTTCTCTATGTTCTTTATCTTTGATGAGTTGCAGATTTGTCAAAATTACATTTTCGTAATTTTAATTTACTTATATATTTTAAAGGAAAAACGTGTTTTTAGTTCTTGAGTATTTTCATAAATTAGGTTTTAGTTCCTATATTTTCAAATTAATAAATTAGTCCTCTAAAACAGGAACAAAATTGAATTAAATCCCTCTAATCTCTAAACCGTTAAAAAAATCATCATTAAAGGCAACATTTCTTTTAAGTAACTAATTAATAAAGAACAATCATCATTTGTGTTCTAAAAACCCATCTCCAAATTTCTTTATTGATTTTGTGTAGTAAAAATACGTATAAATTTATTTTATTTTCAAAAACAATTTTACATTGCCAAAAATAATATTCTAATATTTTTGTTCCTTCTCATTTTAAAATATTTAAATATGTGCATCTTTTCAATAAATAAAAATATAAATTAATTTAAATATGATTCAAACAAAAAATGAAATCATTAACAATTTGAATATACCTTTATTTAATTATATATATATATATATATATATATATATATATATATTTTTTTTTTCTAAGTATTCAAAGATGTAAGCTATTATTATTATTATTATTATTATTATTATAATAATAAAATAAAAGTAACGTTCATGTTTTTTTTTGGGATTTTTTTATTTTATTTTTTGAATCTTAAAAAATATCTTTTTTCTTGGATAATTTCTATTTTACTGTGAAGGAATTATTTTTCACATATTTATTTTTATAAGATCGATAACTCTTGAATAATAATATTTTAATAAAAATATTTAAATAATATAGAAGGCTGGTCAAGGATTAAGAATATATGTTATAATTTCTTAATTTTAATTAATAGGGCAGAGAGAAGAGAATTTAATGTTTTTCCTTTAAACTCAAAGTTTGAAACAGAACACGAAAAAAAATGAACAATAATTAAAAATATGAAATTTTCAAAAGACTAAAGTAAATGTTGAGTTTTGTTGACTAATTGATGAGCACAAAAGGAAATAAAAAAAAAAGAAAATAAAAAGAAAAGAAAAGAGGGATGAAAGAAACCAAAGTCTCAACAGACAAGCCACTCATTTAACAACACGTGCACATCACCCCAAAAGCCAACATCAAAAACACAACAAAATTAAAATAACTGTGGTCGGTTAACTGCAAGCCTATGTCCTACCAAGCTTTAATTTTTTAAATGAAAAATATTTATTTTAATTTTTTGAGCTTTTTCTTTAATAAAAAAATAATAAAAGAAGATAAAAATAGTTTGTGAGTATGATTTTAAAATATGATTAAAAGATAAAAAAAAAATCTATAAATGTAGTAACTAATCTTTTTAACTTGAAAGAGAAAAATACTTTGATGGTAAGGAATCTTGACGTGTGAGCCGTTGATGGTGGTGATCTTTTTTGGATCATACACGTGTACGACCTCTGTTCCGTGTGTCTGTGAGTACAGAATCATAGAAAGCTGGGTCACACAGAAAACGACAACATAGACAGAGCACCTTAAAGTCGCGAAAACAAAAGTTGAACCCATGGTCAATCCTCGGTTAAGCAGCTAACCATGGTAAGGTTAATTTTGTTCCTTCAATGTCTGGTTTCGTGTATGCCTGGCAACTGGTTAATTTAACACCACCAGCAGATTCAAACGTTTCAACCATAATAATAATAATAAGAATAATTAATTTTCTCATAATTTTTTTAAAATTAAAATTCTTATATTTCTTAATTTTAATATATAATCTTGAAAAACTGATGAAAACAGAAAAGAATATAAAATAAATATATGATTTTAAAAATTATTAAATTTTAATATTTTCATTTATTTTCTTTAAACACATATTTCACCAATTTTTTTATGGATTAATTAATTTTCTTTTTATCGATTAGTTCCAATTGGGTCTATATTGTTTTTAATCACTTATCTATTTTAATGTTAACTATAAATAAATTTTAAATCATTTTTTAAATTATTAGTACTTAAAAATAATATTATATCATAGTTTAATTTGTTTATTACAAATCTAAATAAAATTAATATATTTAAATAATTATTTGTTATAAACTATAATATAATTATTTATATTTAAAAAAATACTATATATATATATATTTAGTTATTCAATTTAATCATAGATACAAGTTTGTATTTAATATTATTATACTCAACTGATTCTTTGTAACAAAAGTTATTTATGTTTTTAAAAAAGATTATTTTACTAATTAAGTTATATATACTGAAAGTAGTATTTTGTTAATCAACAACTAATGGACATTTAATAATTATTTAAGCAGTTAATTAATTGTGTTTCCCAATGTAAAGTAGAGAAAATAGTTTGGTATCTAAAAATGGGATAGGAAAGTAATTTAAACTTGGTGGCATTTAAGAACAGAGAGTAGTACTTTTTGCCTTTTGTATCTCAAATGTAACAAGGGATGTGCTTTTGGGGTTACGTGGCACCAAATTGGTTAAACATTTGTCACAATCCAAGTGAAAGTAGCAATTTTGTGTGTGACACGGCACACAAAGTAACGCGCAAAGAGAGAGAGAGAGAGAGTGTGTGATAGTACAGATACACAGTACTGTGTTCTGCACTGCACAAGTTTCACACACACTTTCTCATTTTATTACCACATTTGGAGTTCTTCTCTCTGCACCATCATCTCTCTGAAGGTTCTAGAGCACATAGAGAGAAAACCCAGGTGGGGTTCTTCTTCCATTGTTGATTTCTTGCTTTTTATTTTCACTTTCTTTTGTTTACAGTTGATTTTGGATTTTTCTTGGTTTGTTTTGAGGTATTGTTGATTCCTTTTGTTGTTATTGTGGCACTGGTTTGTTTTGGTTGAGGTTCCAATTTTTTTATGTCTGTTGTACTATGTGGAGTTCTTCTGTGTTTTTTTGGCTTTTATGTTTTAATTTTTTGTATCATTTTCATTTTGCTGAAATGAATAAGCATTAGAAGGGTTTGAAACTGTTCTAGCCATCTTTGAATGGTCTATAGGGGCGTCCCCAAAAAAGAAACTTTTTCTTTTTTCACCTTTTGCATTTGGGGTCGATGCATTGAAGTGAACGCTGTATTATGTGTTTGCAAAACTTTGGTTTTCATCTATGTGACATGCAATCAAATTGTAAATCCTTTTCTCATGAAAATGGGTATGCTAGATTATATTGGTTAAAATTAAAATGTCTCTGGATATTGTAGATTGATTTTTTTTTTTGTTTTCAACTTGCGTTTCACTATTTAATTGAGCACATGTGTTGTTTTCAGTTGGGTGTTTTGAGATCATGCTGAGGAAGAGGACCAGGTCAATCCAGAAAGATCAACACCACTTTGGCAAAATGGCAATATCTGAAACCAGTTTTGAGTCCTATCCTCAGTCTCATGCTTTGGGGAGCAATACCAAAAGCAACTCAATTTTCAATACCCCTCTTTTGTTTGTGGGTATGGGTCCTAAGGGGTTGGATTCAGATTCAGTTAAGAGTCCCACTTCCCCACTAGATGTTTCATTTTTTTCAAATCTAAGTAATCCTTTTAGAACCCCAAGTTCATTGTCCAATGAGGGACAACAAAGGAGCTGGGACTGTGTCAAAGTAGGTCTAAGTATTATAGATTCTTTGGAAGAATGTCCTAAGTTTTCTGGAAAAATTCTCCGAGCATCAGAGAGCAAGAAGACTAATCTCAGTCCCCAAATGATTACTAAAGTCCCAAATTGTAAACCCTATATGGATTATGTTCAGGCATCTAAATCTTTACCCAAAGATTTTTGTAAGATTCCTTGTACTCAAAATGGTTACATTTTCTCCAAGGGTGAGTCCCAAGTTCTTTTTGAGATTGGAGAGACCCCACTAGAACATGAATCATTTGGAAGAACTGTGTCTGTTTCTTTAGACTCTTGCAGTCCAATTAAAAATTTGTCTGGTTTAACTGTTTCCAACATTGATTCTAACCCTGAGAATCTTTCTTTCAAACATATGTGCTCTCCTCCTCATTTTATTGGAGGAAGCCATGATAACACACAAATTTTACTACCTGCTGAATTAAATTCAAATCCTGTTACTGCAGTATCTTCTAATGAATTTATCAAGTCTCTATCAGCCAGTGAGATTGAACTTTCTGAGGATTATACTTGTGTCATATCCCATGGTCCTAATCCTAAAACAACCCATATTTTCTGTGACTGCATTTTGGAGACTCGAGCTAATGACTTTGGAAAACATGACAAGAATGGAGATAAGGAAAAGGGACTTTCCCTTTTCAGTGTTAACAACATGCATACTCCAAACCATTTTCCTTCTAAAGATTTCTTAAGTTTCTGTCACCATTGCAACAAGAAACTGGAAGAGGGGAAAGACATTTATATATATAGGTAGATTAGCTCTATTGCATATCTTATGCTTATAATTGAAGATCTTTTTGATGGACAGAGTCTGACCCTAACGATGGTTTCCTTTGTTATCCTGTAGAGGTGAAAAAGCATTTTGCAGTTTGGGCTGCCGGGCAATAGAGATAATGATGGATGAGGAGCTTGAGAAATCAGATTCATCACCTGAGAACTCTCCAAAGTGAGAATTTGAAGGAAATCTTTTTGGAAAAACATCCCAACAGCTACATGGACGCTGCCAATCATCTGTTCTAAAAGAGCTGTTTTTTGTTTGCATCAATTGCCAGCCATGGATGATTGTTTTGTACATCAATGCGTTTGCTGTTAGTTTTCAGCTTGATACCTCTCCATAGATTTGGTTTTCATTTATAACTACATATATGTATGGTATGACATTATATGATAGGTTTTCAAACATAAATTTTCATACAAAAAATCAAGGGTATAAGCCCATTTTTCTTGGCTTATCCCTTGTTGAGGTTTGAGATATATGTATGTTATGTCAAAAGTCAGTGTATGACAGTCCAAACAAGTTTTTAACTTGAAAGATCTATAAGTTTTGCATATCATATTTCTTTGTTTTGAATTGTTAACCATTGATTAATTTTGTCTTTTATGCATTTTGTACTGACTCATTTTGTCCTGAAATTTTGAGTATTTTAAGCTTGGTATTACAAGCTAAGATTCAATTATTATTCATATTTGTAATGCTTCTCAGATTATTTCCTTGTTTGTTGGGATAAGATCAATGTAAGTTTCTTGTAATATTTAATTTTGGGTTTTTTTTATTTATAATTTTTTTTAACAAAATTAAAGTTGAATTTGCAATTTAATTAATGAATTTTAAGCTAACATTTAAATGTCTGTTTTTATTGAGAAAATGGGAAAAGTCATTTCAGAAGACAAAGTAAATGAAGGTTTTACAAGTTATGTTCTCTTGTCCAAGAATTTATATATATATATATATATATATATATATATATATATATATATATATATATATATATGTGTGTGTGTGTGTGTGTGTGTGTGTGAGAGATGGGTAATTATTTGTTATTTTAAAAAATAAAAAACGTGAATATATTATCATTAGGTTATTTAATATATTACTTTTTTATACAATTAATTAATATGTTACTTTTAATTATGTTACACGGATAATTTTTTAATAACTTTCAAAAGAATTAATTATAATCATAGATTTATATATTGAATATGATCATAGACTAATATTTGCATCATAGATAAAAGAAATGATTTTGAAGAAGAGAATTTATATATTATTTAATCATTTCATTTTTGAAATAAATATAATAAAATTTATCGACTCAATTTATATATATATATATATATATATATATATATATATATATATATATATATATATATATATATATATATATAGATCAATAAAAATACTCAGACACATAAAACTATATGAAAATAAATTAAGAATTTATATACTTTTTTTTATATGTTAATTTGACTTTAATTATTTTTCAACAAGATTTCAACCATAAACTCACACCACCCAAGATTCATACAAAAATCTACCAAGATGATAAATTTTTGAATGCTTAAAACATAAAGAATGAAATCAATGAGTTGGATATCAAAAACTTATCAAGGATTCAAAATCAATACTAATCATTCTCCAAAAACTTTACACCAATTCATTTACATGTTGATGGTTAAATGTGTAATATTACAAGTATGTGTAAAATAAAAAGAAAATGTTATGTCAAATTTACACATTTAAACAATTAGAATTTTCTATATAATAATAATAATAATAATAATAGAAGTTTTATTTTATTATTTAAACCATGTTAAATACTTTTTTTGGAAGATAATTTATTTTAGAAAAAAATATTATCTACATATTTTTCTTCAAATCCAAACTAATATAACTTTTGAAAACATGTGATTTTAGTTAATTTTTATATTATTTAGTGACTAATAATAAAAAATAATCACAATTTAAAAAAGTCAAAAATAAATTAAAAATCTATTTTTTTCTAGTCTGATTTAAATTTCAGATTAAAGTTAAGAATTAAAGTAAACTACTTTATTGTATTCAAATATAATCTTATGTATATTTAGATTTAATTAGAAACTATGGATAAACTATTTTATGATTTAGTTGTATTTCAATTATAATATATTTATAAAAATGTAATAATAAATTTACATTATAATGGTTAATTATAAGATTGTCATTTATTTATAATATGAAAAAGAATTAGAATTATAACCTTCATAAAAAATAATCTTTATTATAAAATATTTAATAATGTTAAAAAAAACCATTTAACAATTTGATGGTAATAAAATTGATCTATGTCAAAATGTTAATTTGATTTAACTTTAGTTTTATATTAAAATAAAAATAAATCAAACTGAATCGTAGTTCACTTTCGTTTTAGTTGTGTTTTAATAAAAATTGAACTTGTGAACACTTTATTATAAGAAAATTTGTAGAATAATTTAATTTATATATTATTTTTAGAGTTTGAGATCAATTAATAATTTTTAAAGTATAAATATCAAATCAAATTTGAAAAAAAAAATGTAGGGTCTCGAAATTTTTTTAACCTTTTACTTAATGATAGTTAATGAATTCAATTTTTTTTTTTTGAGAATATGAATTATTGAAATATATACCTATATTTGACACTATCAATTTGAATCAAACAGTTAATTTGGGACGAGCAAATTAATTAATTGCTTGCATGCTTCATCTTACAATTCCATTTTCTTTTCTTTACACCAAAACTATATTTGTCGCACGCTTTTTCTTGATTGCTGCTTTGTATTATTGGTGGATAAACTTTCTACCTAATTTAGTATTTGTAAATATCTAAATTATGCAAACATGCTTTGGGGGGAATTAAGCCAACAAAAGAAAAAAAAATGTCAAGTTTACTTTTATTTCCAAAAAAGTAAAGTTCTGAATTTTGAAAATTTCCGTGAAATTTTATTTGTTGACAGTGAGAACTAAACTCTTTGCCTTTATATCCCGTAATTTTTGAAAATCATACTTTATTTTATGACGGTTTAATTACACATTTTTTCTCTTACTTTCTTAATTTTTTATTTTTTTGTGAAAAATTAATCTTTAATTATTTTAATTGTGTGATTTATGTTTCTTGTCAACATTTTGTTTTAAATGTCAAGTCAATACATGAATTAAAATAGTAGAGATCAAATTGGGAAAATTTGCAAAAAATTAAAAATAAAAAGATAAAAATACTTCAGTATGAAAAATATATTAACATCGTATATTAAACTCTTCGAAGTATTGAAACCCATTTAAGAAATTAATAGCATGAACTAAGAATTAATTGAATATCAAATACTTTTCCGCATTTTCGAACCATGTTACACGATATCAGTACATTTATATAATTACAACAGAAAAAAGTATTATTTACACCATTTGAAAGATAATCTTCATTCTTAATCTCCATAAAATGACTAATTGTAATTACCATTAAATTTTATTTTTATCTTTTACTCTTTTTTTTAATCTTATTTTAATAATTTTGCAAGTCTCTATTCTCCTCTTCAGCTTCCAGCCTCCTCTCAAGTGTACCTTTCACTCGTTTAGAATGGATAACATTGTAGAAAGAAATGTTAGAAGCCAATCACGATTTTGTGCGGTCAAATTTCTCAATCTTTCCTCAATTATGGCATGGGAGCATCATTTCCCCCAAAGCTAAAAATGTTTCATTATTACTATAATGATCCATATCGAAAATTATTTATATACTTTGGTTTTTATTGTTGTAAATTCTCTCACGCATTCTTAATCTAGTTCTTACACATTAAAATTATGCAATTGACCTAAAATAATTAGAAGCATAAATTGAACTGGGAAGGTATTTAACTAAAATTCTTATCAATTGAAAAAAAAAAAAAACAAGAAAAACACTTCTCCACTAATTGCAGAGTTAAAATTATTAAAACAAAGAGGACAAAACTAACTTGCTGTGCTGTAGGTATTGATGATGTTGTTCTCCAATAAGAAGTGGAGTTTTACCTTTAGATAATAACCCACAAATATCATAAGCCTCAGGGAGATTACAAGTAGTGGCCCCAACAATAATCCCCACTCACCAAATCATCATAAGAGCCATTATTCTATCCCTTTGAATGTGGCTCGCTCATCGTGCAGTCCAAATTCCCAAGTAGTAGACACACATGCCTTCACAAATCACCACAATATCAAGATCACTCCAGTGAAGACTTTTGATGAAACCAATGAACAATAGTTGCCACTTGCTTAGCCTTATGTTTGTCGTGTATTATAGGACTTGCAGTTCGGGCACTTTTGTGCCACAAAATGGAACTGAACGTGATTAGTTTTACCACAGTCATTGCAAAGGATCCAAACCTGTGGAGAGTAACAGCATTAGGCCATATGATATTTGATTTGACATGCAACAAAAAATACATGCAGATTGCAGAACAAGAAGATGAAAGCTTAAAAATCTAGGACAACCAACAATTCATCTCTATCACCGTATAACAAAGGTGTAGGTTAATGTGCAGTTAGTTAGCATGAATAAACATGTAATAACCATATTCATCACATTTAAAATAGGAACTCTAACCATTTTATTTTGATATGGTTCAGGCATTGGTGTAGCAGCAATCTCTAGATCAAATTTCTCCCAGACCTTTGACATATCACAGACTGACTTCGAGCAGAGAGGGCAAGCATACCTGATATATAAGAATCAAATTGAAGTATCAGGATTTTTAAGATAGAGAGGTAGATTAAAGAGATGAGGAACTTTATGATACTCACTGGAAATGTTCCCTCATTTCATTCAGGCAGCTCTTATGGATTGTATGCCCACATGGCATAACAGTGATATCATTTCTTGATTCAAACAAATACTACAACCATCAAAATTGGTGTGACTGAATCATCCTCCAATAATTCAAAAAACTATCATTTTGATATTTTTAAATCATAAAACCTGTAAGAACTTACCTCGAAACAAACAGGGCAATCATGATGCATCGCTCCTTCTACACAAGGGTGACTGTTTTTCAGCAGAGTCGAGTAACAACAACCTGTGCAGATAATTTCAAATGTTTTGACCAAACATGTATATTTTAAAATAAATGAAACGCAATGGAATGATGCATTAAGAAAAAGAATTAAAAAAATTACTTACCACACTTGATGCAATGGAAGAAATTTTCGCTTCCTCCAGTTCTGTATTAAGTGAAAATATATCAAAATCAACAATCAGTCTGAATTTTAATACAAAGCCTAGTCAAACTAAAATGGCGAAACAGATAAATCTTCAATATATCCTTAAAAGTTATCTTTAAGTCCAACGCCAAAAGAAAGAAAGCAAAAGTTAGATAATCATATGAACAAATATATTTGGGTGGCTGCTAGACTTAGTTAAGGTGTTCGAGTGAGAAAAATTATTATTATGGTAGCTACTCTTGACATTTTGAAAAACAGAGGAGATAAAGGGTGGCGTCCCCTTCAAATGCATTACCATCCCTGCCTAAAATGCAGAGACGTTGACCTTTTAGATAAAGTAACTACATTAGCAATTCATACCTGCAAATTCCACAGGCACTGCAATGGTACTGCTGCTTAGATATCTGCAGCACATCAAAAAAATTGTTAATAACATAATACCAATTGAAAACTTACATGGTTTCAAAGTATTACAATCATTGCATGACATATTGTTTGGTGCAGTGAAAAGAAAGAGAGAGAGGGGGAGGAAGGAAAGGAGTGGCAAGGAGTAGCAGTTGGTTGTTTGTGAGAGTGGATGTATGAAAATGGGACCGACAAAAGTAAATTTCCTCTTCAAGGACTGCGAAAATGCACAAAAATGAATTATGCAGGAGAATAATCCATTATGCAACCTCATGTTCCTTTCTACAATGATTAAGCCCCCTCTCCATTATATTGATTAACCAATCTCCTTCCTCCACGAATTCTTTTAGAAAATAATGAATAATAAATATAAAAAATCAAACTATATCACTAAGATAATTATAAACAATAAATATAAAAAATCAAACTATATTATTAAGATAATAATAAACAATAGTAATAAGAGTTATTATGTTTATTTTTTAAACTAAACAATCTTAAAAGATACTTACTTTATTCTCTTTCTATTTCTCTTCAACCAAACAACCTTTATTTTCATTCTATTTCTCACATATTTCTCTTCTTTCGCACTTAGTTACTATTCGTTTATTTCTTTCCTCACTTTCAGACTAGTTACTATTCTTTTATTTCTTTCCTCACTTCCAGACGCTACCTAATCTTCATGTTACACTTAATGAAAATATTCACTTATTCATTAGGCTAACCACATATTATTATTAAACTAGAAGTCAAATAGAAGTTAGAATAAAAAAAAAACGTGAAAAGAGAAAAGGACATTAGTTGCAGGATTATTTACTAACATCATCATCAAAAAGCTTGCATGTTCCACAGAAGTACTTGCCCATACAAACACCACAATTTATACAGTTTTGCTGAACCTGGAAGCAGTTAAAATCAACAGAAGAAGAAATTAGCTTTAAATACTCAATGCAGATTGTAAATGATGAAATTTCAGTTTACAGTTTATTTATTGTTGAATAAAATAAGTCGGAAGTAATTTCAAGCAAGCATCTTATTGTATAGAGCGGGTCAATAACTTAATGAACTAAAAAAAATACTGTTTCCATAAAACATCTGGCAGAACCTTCAGAAGTAATAAGCTTTAAATGTCCCTTACCAATATCTTTTGTTACCTTAATGCATGTGAATGCAAATGCAGTGGGATTTTCACTTTAATTGGGAATAAAGATTTGTCCTCAAAAGCTATCTAGATCCTCCTTATAACTTTTATATCAAAATAAGAATCAAACAGAAAGACACTAAAGAATTTCTGAACTCACCTCTTGTTCTGTCCCACAAAGTGAACAAATCACCTGCGTATGTCAAAATTATTTCATTAGCATTGAGGAATTCTTTGATCACCATGAAATAACAATGCTAAGTTTTGAAAAAACAAAATTATTAATTGGAAACGCCTAAATAAATAAGCCTTACCTGCCTGACTTGGTGCCGGGGAATGTCATGTCTATGCTTCTGATCAATGTTGATATCATTCTGTAGAAGACACGATAATAAAAGTAAGTTCCCAAAAAAAAAAAAAAAAGTGTAATGCTACAACAAAAGAATTAAAAATTGTCAGACCGTTCCTAGTACATTATAAGTCATAACTCATGAGTCAAGTTATCGTAGTACTCGTCTGAGACCCCACTACAAGGGTGGTGAGTCATTCCATTAAAACAGCAGAAGGATGAAAGAACTAATACTTGTTTTTCCTAAATTAAGCAAATAACTAACAACTACTACTCAAATTAGTTCAGTGAAGGTACAAATTCTTGCCTCCATGGGAAATGAGGGAGGGAGAGAGATGGAGGTTACCATAAAAGTTGTTGAATATAGGGAAAAACTGTATAGGATTAATTTCCCTTGTGTATTTACCACACATAGGGCAGTGTATTTATAATAAAGAAAGGTACTCCTTAAAAGAGTAACAGAATACAAATAGGGTAAATAAAAGATATTATTTGATATTGTGATTAACAATATCTAACAATATCTCAACAATATCAAATAATATCAACTAATATCTAATCATATCTAACACTCCCCCTCAAGCTGGAGCATACAAATTGTATGTGCCTAGCTTGGTACAAAGATAATCCATCCTAGGTCCCCGTAAAGACTTAGTGAAAATATCTGCTAATTGATCACATGAGTTAACGAACTCAGTTTTGATGTCTCCAGACATAATCTTTTCTCGAATAAAATGGCAGTCAATCTCAATGTGTTTAGTCCTCTCATGAAAGACAGGATTAGAGCTTATATGGAGAGCAGCCTGATTGTCACACACTAGTGTCATTTGAGTGACATCTCCAAATTGTAGCTCTTTAAGCAATTGCTTGAGCCAAATAAGTTCACAGGTAGCTGAGGCCATAGCTCTATACTCGCTTCTGCACTGGATCTTGCCACAACACTTTGTTTCTTACTTTTCCATGAGATCAAGTTACCACCAATGGAAACACAATACCCGGATGTAGATCTTCTATCGAGGGAGATCCTGCCCAATCGAGCATCCGAATAGCGAGACAACTCTTGTATGATTATGGGAGTCATACACCAAACCTTTTCCAGGAGACTTTTTGATGTACTTCAATATACGGATGACTCGCATTCCAATGATCTTGACAAGGAGAATTGAGGAATTGACTCACCACACTGACTCGCAAAGGAAATGTCGTGGCGAGTAACTGTAAGATAATTTAATTTTCCAACTAATCTTCTATACGGTTCAAGATCCGACATTGGCTCCCCCGATTTGGCAAGAGTTTGGTATTAGGATCCATGGGTGTGTCTACAGGCTTTGAATTCATCAACCCAGTTTCCTCCAAAATATCCAATGCATACTTTCTTTGAGATATAACAATGTCATCGGTAGATTGTGCCACCTCAATACCCAAGAAATATCTGAGTTTGCCAAGATCTTTGGTTTGAAAATGGTGGCAAAGGTGTTGTTTCATCTGAGAGATGCCATGATGGTCACTACCTGTAAGAACAATGTCAACGACATACACTATCAAATAGATACATCCGAGCATTCGAGTGACGGTAAAAGACCGAGTGGTCTCGCCTCACTTCTAGTCATGCCAAATTGTTGAACAACGCTGCTAAATTTGCCAAACCAGGCCCTAGGAGACTGTTTTAGGCCATATAAAGATTTGCGAAGACGACATACCAATCCAGAAGACTCCCCCGAGTAACAAATCCGGAGGTTGCTCCATATAAATCTCTTCTTGCAAATCGCCATTCAAGAAAGCATTTTTGACATCCAAGTTGATAAAGAGGCCATTGTTGAATAGCAGCCATGGCAATGAATAAACGAACGAAGCCATCTTTGCCATCTGGAGAGAAAGTATCACCATAATCCAACCCAAAAATTTGGGTATAGCCTTTGGCTACAAGGCGAGCTTTGAGGCGATCAATAGTACCATCAGGACCAACCTTGATAGCGAAGACCCACCTGCAACCAACAACAGATTTTCCGAGATGGTAATGGGACAAGTGTCCAGGTTCCACTAGTCCGAAGAGCACCGAGTTCATCTAGCATGGCCTGACGCCAACCAGGGTGGGCTAAGGCTTCGGAGACAGATTTAGGAATAGACACAGAAGAAATAGACGAGAGACAGGTATAAAATGGTGAAGAAATTCGATGATAACTAATAGCAGTATAATGTGGAGAAGGATTACGAGTAGAACGCGTACCTTTACGAAGGGCAATAGGAAGGTCGGATTCCGTGGACTGAACCGGAGGAGGCGAGTATTTGGCACCGGGAGTGAGTCATGTGGCGTCTGTTGTGGGCGAGGTCTGCGACTATAAACCTGAAGGGGTGGTGGAAGAGGAGGGGCTAATGGTGGTTGGTCCTCAACATAAGGATCAATGAGAACAGGAATGAGAATTGTAGCAGATGGAGACTCAGCAGGTAGGGAAGGGTCCTTAAAGTAAAAGGAAAACTCATTGAAGTTGACATCGGCAGACACAAAATAGCGATTAAGAGAAGGAGAAAAACACTTGTATCCTTTTTGGGATCGAGTAAATCCTAGGAAAACACATTTGTGTGATCGAGGAGATAACTTATCATGACCAGGATCAAAATTGTGGACAAAACAGGTAGACCCAAAAACCTTCAGAGGTAAAGGATGGAGAGTGTCATGAGGAAATAAAATAGAATGGGGAATTTTGTTATCTAAAACCGAAGAGAGCATACGATTAATAAGATAACAGGCAGTAAGAACAGCATCACCCCAAAAATGTTGAGGAACCGCACCATAAATTAAAAGAGTACGGGTTGTTTCAATAAGGTGTCTATTCTTGCGCTCGACCACCCCATTTTGTTGAGGGGTATAAGCACAGGAAGTTTGATGAAGAATGCCATGAGAAGCCATAAATTGTTTAAACGAGTTTGAAAGATATTCACGGCCATTATCACTTCGAAAAGTTTGAATAGAGACACCAAATTGATTTTTAATTTCATGATAAAAGTTTTGGAATATAGAAAACACCTCGGAACGATTTTTCATTAAAAATAACCAAGTACAACGAGAGAAATCATCAATAAAAGTAACAAAATATTGAAAACCTAAATTAGACTTAACACGACCGGGTCCCCAAATGTCAGAGTGAACTAAGGCAAAGGGGGATGAAGCATGCTTGGGAAACACTACGAGAAAAGGAAGTACGACTATGTTTGCCTAATTGACAGGACTCACACACCAAACTGGACAACTGGGATAAGCCGGGAACAAGTTGCCTGTAATTTGCGCAGACCGGGGTGACCAAGCCGAGCATGAAGGAGAGAAGGAGACTCCATAACCGTGCCAACATGTGGAGAAGGTTGAAGATAATAAAGTCCATGTGACTCACATCCGGTGCCAATCACTCTTTGCGAGCTCCGGTCCTGTAAGGAAACGAAGTTTTGGTAAAAGAGATAACACAATCAAGAGATCGAGTTAGACGGCTAATGGATAATAAGTTAAAGGGGGACCCGAGTACATACAAAACATTATCAATGGACAACGAGGGAAAAAGAGTAACCGTTCCAACACCATGAGCTAAAGTTGTAGATCCATTAGCCATTGTAACGAGAGGGTAAATTATGAGAAGAAGTGAAAGAGGAAAATAAGGATTTGTTACCGGTGATGTGATCGGTGGCGCCTGAGTCAAGAACCCAAGAGCCAATAGAGGAAGAGTGAGTTAGACCAAGCAAAAGATGTACTCGTGTGGGCAACGAAGTAGTGGAACCGGAGGGCTTTCGATCCTCATACCATTGAAGAAAATCATTGAAGATAGCGATTTGTCCGAAGGTACAGACGAAGGAGGATCCACAGCAGAGGATTGTGCGGAAGAATCAGTCTGAGCAACTGCAGCAGATCGGCGAGGATAACCATGTAAAGCATAACATTTGTCAATTTTGTGGCCTAGTTTGCCACAATGGTCACACTTGACATGCCCTTTGCCTGGCTTGTGAGAGCGATTACGATCATCACGGTGAGAGGCCAAGGCAGATGAATCATTAGAAACTACAGGGGGAATATTGAGAGGTTTACATGGCACCCGCAAAAGGGAGGAACTGGTAGCGGTAAAACTGGGTGTAACAGGGGAACCCAAAATCTGGTCACGAACAGGGGCATATTTATCAGCAAGTCCGTGTAACATCAAAACCATGAAAAACTTTGATCGTTGCTCTAATTCTTGGGCAGGAGTCGAGGCAGGGGGTAATAACTCATTAAATTCATGGAGGAGAGCATGGATCTTACCCACATAATCCGCCACAGGATCCTTATCTCGAGGAGCAATAACATCAAGAAGATTGTAACAAACACCATAAAGACGTTGAGTGTCATTGGTGTATAATAATTTGGCTTGTTCCCAAGTTGCATAATTCGTACCATCTAATTTATCAATGTGTAAATTCACATTGACATAATTAGTAAAAACAGATTGCTCAGACCCACCGGAGCTGACAGAGGTAACTTCAGAATTGGAAGTGGCAGCGGAAGATGCCATGGAGGAAGAGAGAGAAAAACCCTAAAACACCAAAGAGGTCCGATTGGAGCAGCGAGGACAGATCTAGAGAGAGGAGAAGGAGGCGACGCCGGCGCAAAGATCGGCGGCCTGAACGACGGCGAGACGCGCCGCCACGCGCGGCGGAACGGGAGAAGGTGGCGCGGCTTCGGGAGGCGCGTGAGGGAGCGTGGCTGCTCCGATGACCGCGAAACATCCACGGTGGAGGTCGCACGGAGGAGGCGAGCAAAACCCTGTGCTCGGCGGTCCGAACTGCTACTCCGGCGACGGCGACGGCGGCGGCAGACGGTGGTGGAGGCGGCGACAGCTGCAGGTTCAGTGGCAGAGCCGAAAAAAAAATCCCAAGAGACCTTAAACTCTTGATACCATGTTGAATATAGGGAAAAACTGTATAGGATTAATTTCCCTTGTGTATTTACCACACATAGGGCAGTGTATTTATAATAAAGAAAGGTACTCCTTAAAAGAGTAACAGAATACAAATAGGGTAAATAAAAGATATTATTTGATATTGTGATTAACAATATCTCAACAATATCAAATAATATCAACTAATATCTAATCATATCTAACAAAAGTAAAAGATCAAAATAAATGGAATGCAAGACAAAAATAAATTAGAAGATCAAAATAAATGGAATGCAAGACAAAAATAAATTAGAAGATCAAAATAAATGGAATGCAAGACAAAAATAAATTAGAATACTCTGGATGGTGCTATAAATATTGTTTACTTTTAAAGCAATCAAACAATGACAGTGGCAATTAACAAAAAGAGCATTCAAGAAAATTGGATACAAATACACACAAAAATATGGAACTGTATTAGTTATGATAACAACAATAAATTAAATATTTGAACATCATCAAAAAATACATTTGAGGAATTTCCTTACTTTTGCTTCATTGTGACAATGGCGGCAATCAAAAATCTCATTGCAACAGGGGGCCCTGATTCGGCATCTTCTCCGGTAATGTTGACATCTGCAAGAAAGCATAACTTTAACAAAAGACAGAACAAACACTTACAAAGTGGAGAAGAGTTTATGAACAGGATATTACCCATACTCCATGTATCCCTTCTCTGGCAAGTTATTGATATTTTTGTGGTCTGTAGATTGACTTGATTCTTCTGTATGCAAGTCCTCTGCATTTGACTCTGGAGCATACACTTCATTTTCAGTCATATGTTTGATGTCATTGCACTCAAACTGCAGAGGCTCAGAATGCATTATTGCCACCTCTCCCATGGTACTGGTTACCTTCAGATAAGATTACCAACTATCTAGAAGCAGGAAGTAAGCTTAGTGACCTGCATGTAGGAGCACATTTAGAAATAATCCTAAAATTTCTAAAGGCATATTTAGTAACCCCATCAAGCCAGGTAAACACCAATGCGTCGTAGCTTTCTTCTATACTGCTGCAGACCAATTGAAATCAGCAACAACAAAATCGATTAATGCAGCTCCAATCAGCACTACTCCAAGAGGGGAACACATCAAAACTATTGTACATACAAGAATTTCACATATAACTACATGGTAGCACTGGGGTACTTGACAGCCTCCAGCAGTAAATAGAAACCAATCGCATTGAATGATCACTTGATTCCTTGAAGTTCTCCAAGAACCAAATCCAACTATACTGGAGCCCATCAATAGACACTCCAACCTATGTTGAAAGCAATAAATCACCCAATCAAATGAATCCCATATAATATAAATATAGTAGATATGTTGGTTTTATTGTCCATGAAGGACATGCCTACCTTATATTGCAGTTCTGCATTGAGTCCTCCAAGAACTGAAACTTAACAAAAGGTAGATTCCTTTGGATAAAATTAAAGTCCTTACCTTCATTAACTAGGTAACTTGACAATGGACTACACGCTCACTGCCCAAAAAGAGCATTAGGACTACTCCAGGGACTAGGTTAGTGATATTCTGAACAAAATTGCTGTCCACTTTAGGTGAGCAGCAGGATCATGTCTTCTACTAACCACGACAAAAACAAAGGTTTGAAGAACAAAGGAGGAAAGATTTGTACAGACAGCAGTGAGTAGTAATCACATTCCACCAAACAATGGAAGTAGCATTAGGCCAGCCTTTTCACTGTTCCTAACTGGCACGGAAACAAATGGATAGGTCCTGTGAATAAGGCAAAAGGGGTATCCCCACTCCCACCCATTAGAAGTTTTAACAACATCAAAATTGGCTCCAAGGTCCAAAGCGTTTGCTCACAGTAGAGGGAGAACATCGACAAATGGAGACAGGTAAGGCAGAGATATACTTGTTTGGTCATATTTCCCTTTAAAATTGTATCCATCCATAAACAAGGGTTGAAATATAAACGAAACAGAAGCATAACCAGTTCACAGTTTGTCCAATTGATCACTGAATTTTAAAACTTCATAGAAAACGGACAATTGACAGAGTTAAGTTTAAGCTCCTCCAACATTTCCAATAATAATACGATGATGTGGATCGCCATAATCTGAACCATAAAGAACTATCATAACCATAATTTTAATTAGAACTCCAAAAATTAACAAGGACCACTGGAAAGAAGGACTGCACATGGTGCAGTTCATTTTGAACTCAACCGAATCGTTACACCAACGTTTGAATGGAGGCTTCATTTTCTGACTAAACTATGATAATTCAACCTATTGAACCCCACGTAGATCGTCCAAATACGACATCAATTTTCTTGCTAAACCCAAAGTTTCGTAAATTCCATTAAACCAAACGAAACCTTGTAACTCACGGCATCGAATTGTGCAGCTACGTACCACAGAAGCAAACTCCTAAACGCAAACAAAATTACACAGAACTCAAACAAACATGTAGAATTCAAAATTGCACATAATTCGAACACCAGAAACATAAAAACACCGCAGCAACGGAATCTACTATCTTCACCTACATGACCGCAACGGAATTTACCAAAAAAAAAAAAAAAAAACCACAGCTATTACCTAACAGAGCAAAAATAAAACGCAGTTATGGTTACTATTATTCACAGAATTATCACAGAAAATAAACTAACGGCAATGACAGAACAACAACGAACTTTCAACTCGACGGCGACGTTATCTGCGATATGTTGATCTTCCGTAAGACGTTTTTCCTCTGGAATGTGAAGAAGAATGAAACGAAGTGGAATTTATAGGCTGGCGGCATACTGAGAGAAATGAATCTTCTGTGTTCGGAATCGAGAGGCTTCGAAATTGACCGAAAGATTTAAAAGCTGGTGACAGCTCTTTCATCTTTTAACTTATCCTCGAAAATATCTAGCTAATGATATCCATTGACTTGTCGCCACGTGGCAACTTGCATTCCGTGCAAGTATCTTCGCATGTTACAATAATACTAATTAATATCTAATTAAATTAAAGTAACTATCGACACGAAGAAAAGATATGGATAAACACAAGGAGAATTAAATATGTAATTAGTAAACACACTCAACAAACAACAATGTTTTAACATTTTGACAAATTTTACATAGAAACAATCCTAAGGCTCTATGTTAACAACTTTTTATAATTAATTTATTTTTAATTTTGTTTTTCTCTCTTCACCATACCTATACATATTCATATTTTTTTCTACTCATTATATATATTATACTTTTTAAGTAAAAGATTTTGTTTTTAATATATGATGTTTAAAAAATTTAAGATTACATTAATTATTTTTTTTATCAATTATATCATAATATTTATTATAGAAAGAAAAGGGATAATAAATTATTTAAGAATATTTTCGATAGAAAGAATAGTAAGATGATAAGGATATTAATAAAAAAATATTAATAAATTTATTAAAAATAATAAAAATTAATAATAGATCTTCTAAATATTATCCTTATATACTATCAAAATATTATTGATATAGGTTTAGTTTATATATTATTAATATATTAATATATTTTATAATATATTAATATTTGTTTATAAACAAACTGACTATCTGTGTAATATTATTTATGAATATATAATTATATTTAAAATAGTATATAATAAAATTTATTTATTATTTTTTGAAGTTATTAAAAATGAAATAAATTTTAAAAAATTCATCTATTCATACAATTAAAATTGAAGAATGATGTGTCTTTTTCTGGAAATTTTCTTCCACCAAGTCTATTCCTGAAAAAGTTTCCCCTTACACCCCATTGCCTTTGGTTGAACCTTTCAATCACCATAATTAAAGTTATAGTATTTTTTGGTTTGGATTTTATTTGAACTGATTTTTATTTGAATCGAGAGTGTTACGGGTGTTGGTCCGGTGTTTAGTTTGGCTAATGTGGAAATGTAGAAAATGGATATGAAGTTATTATCTAGCATTTTTTTTATGTTGGCAGGGACTAGTACTTCAATGTGGTAAAGAATGTGAGGTTGTCTCTCTTACTTGTTCCTCTGGGTTCTGTTTGTGTTTCTCTACTATTTTTCTCAACCTACTCCCTCTTCTCGTGTTCATGTCTTGGGTTTTGTATTAGGAGTAGGCACTAAGCCACTACTGCAATATTTTTAGTTGTTTTGTTTCATTGTTTATCATTTATGATTTTTCTATGGGAGTTTTAATTTTTTATTCCTTATGCTTGTGAATCTATGAATGTGAATTTAGTTTGTTTATGTACAACCTTAAGTTTTAGAGTTATAATTTCATGATTTACGATTCTGATCACTTTCCAGATTATTAGAAGCGCATATAAAGAAAACTGAAGAAAGAATACTTGAGAAAAAGTATTGATCAATTCAACTAGAATCATACAGTAGATGTTATATACAAAAGAATAACTATTTTAGCTGAAACATTATTTGAATATAAATATTCAAATATAGCATACTGTAGATAAAATTTACACTATTAGGACGCTTTTGATAAAAAGTCAGCATTTGGTCTGTTGCAAGCCAAATTTTGATATATATTTTTAATAATTTTTTAAATATTATATATATATATATATATATATATTTTAATTATTTATATAATTATATCAAATCAATATAAATATTTTTTCACATATCATAAAAATATATTTATATAATTATATTATTAATATCTTTTTATAAATATAATAAAATTTAATAAATATATTATATCTTTCTAGATAACATTTTTATATAAATAAATTATATATATATATATATTATTTAAATATATTTTTAATATAAAATAACTTTAGTAAGTAAAAATAATATTTTTCATATAAATATGATAAATACATTTTTATTAATATAATATAAAATTATATAAATATTTTTATTATATTTTAATATATTTTTATAAATATGATAAATACATATATATATATATATATATATATATATATTACAATATTAGAAAAATACAAATAAATTTAATATTATAGATTTAATATTTAAATAAATTTAATAAATATGGATTTATATAATATATATAAATATATATATATATATATATATATTTATATGTATATAATAAGATATTTAATAAATACATATATTTGTATATTTAAATTTATTTATCATTCGCATGACCACTCACATGTCTACCTAAACTCTCCTACCACTTACATGACTATCTAACTTTTATGTCACTCGTATGTCTATCTAAATTTAATTACCATTCGCATGACCAGCTAATTCTTATATCACTCATATGTCTACCTAAACTTTCCTACCACTCACATGACTATCTAACTCTCATGTCACTCACATGTTTATCTAAACTTACTTACCATTCGCATGATCACATAACTCTTATGTTATTCACATGCCTACCTAAACTCTCCTACCACTCATATGACTACCGAAACTTTCCTACCATGTGGTTGCAGCGTGCAAACATGCTCATCATGATTATGAGATGTACATCAATCCTGTTTACATGTTGGATGTAGTTAAAAAAGTGTATGATAATTTGTTTGGGAGCTTAGGCACGAAAATTATTGATCATCACATCAAGGCCCACAATTTTGCCCCAACCCAGCAACAAGAAGAAGTTTTAAGGGTAGTCCAAAGTCAACACGAATTAGGATTGAAATGGATATATGTGAAGAAGGTCACCAAAGAAATGTTCATATTGTCACACTCCAATTCACACAATAAATCATTGTCCACATAATCTTGGCCTTAGGGGATCAACTTCTCATAGATAAATCTACTGTAATTTTGTAATATGACATTATACTCATTAAATAAATAATTATTCTACTTATTTATGCTTTTCTAACTTGCTTATTCATGTTTCGTTGCTTATTCATATTTCATTGATTTAATATCTAAAATATCAGTTCACTTTCATTAAAATAGTATATCTTACTCAAATTATCTAATTAAAATTTCTATTTATACAGAATTTTAACAAAATATTTATACCAAATCTATTTTATATTGTATTGAAATTAAATAAAATTATTTTTTGTATAAATATTATATTTATTTACTAAACATCATTTTTATTAAATAAATATTTAAATAGTATGTAAATATATATATATATATATATATATATATATATATATAAAAGAAAATATAAATATGTATTTGTTAAATGTATAAATATATTTATAGTTTAGAATTTAAGATTTAGGATTTATAAAATATATACAAATATATTAAAATATAATAATAATATTTATATATTTTTATAAAACAAATATTATTTATACTTAATATATATATATATATATATATAATTTATGTTATTATGTATATAAAAAGATATAAATATATATTTATTAAATATATAAATATACATGTATTTATTAATGTTATTATGTATATAAAAAGATATAAATATATATTTATTAAATATATAAATATACATGTATTTATTATATATATATATATATTAAATATATTTGTATTTATTATATTTATAAAAACATATTAATAATATAATTATATAAATATATTTTTATGATATGTAAAAAACATATTTATATTGATTTGATATAATTATATAAATAAAAATTATATATATATATATATATTTAATATTCGATCTCCATATGAGATGGTTTTTAAACCTACTATAACTTTAATAAAAAATAAAAAACAAATAAATTATTACCTGAATGAGATGGTATGCTAGACAATAGTGAACTCGTATTGCCATAATTACGCGATCATGATATCATTTTGTAGCTCATCAAATAAGAATCCATGTATAACACTTTTTTGAGTAAAGTATATTTACATATTCTCCGATCCGGTGATTGATATTTTATTATACAACAATTTTATATTATATAAAAAATAAGAAATAACAGTTGATCTTATTAATATTAAAAAAACACTAAAACAAAAAAATATTCATTGTCCATAACTAAATATTCGAATAATAGGCCGAACGAGAAAGTCTATAAATAAAAAGAAAGTTCATAACTAAATATTCGGAGACAGAAAAGAAAGTACATAACTAAAAAGAAAATCCATAACTAAATATTCAAAATAGTAAACAGAAAAGAAAGTCCATAATAAATATAAGGGATAGTTAACGAGAAAAGAAAATATCAAATAAAAAGAAAAAAAAAACTTATGTGTTTATTACCTGAAAAAAAAATAGTATAAAAAAATTAGAAATTTACAAAATATAACATATATTTTTATTATTATAATTTATATATTACTTACTCCTTCTCTTGCTCTTTCTTCGATAAATCTGAAATTTAGTTTTTAACTCATTTGTTGTCAAGCAGAGATAGATGTTAACCTTGCTAACAGTATCAAATTTCTCCATTGCAAAATTGAAAGCATCTCCAGGAAGATGCTCAACTTTTAGAACTTTTCTTAATTTTGCAAAACATTGATCAAGTAACTCCCTATGTATTTCTAAATAACTTCGTGAGATCTAACTATCAGGCGACGGTGATCGACTAGATCGTAATCGACCAGCAGGCAAAACACTAACCCTCTCAATTGTCGCTATTCATCACTTCAAAACATTCAAAAAAACAATAAATAATATTATTAATTATAATAAAAAATACAATATAATAAAAAATAAATTTATTATTATAATAAAAAAATATAATATAATAATAAATAATTTTATAAATTATAATAATAAAAAACAATAATAAATAAATTTATATATTATAACAATAAAAAATAATATCTATTATTACCTCTGTTTATTCTTCCAAAAACGTATTTACCTCTAAAAAATGACGTATTTTAGTAAGAGGCGAGATTCTTATTAGTAAGTATTGATTAGAAAACTTAATTCTTTTTATACAGTATTTTTATCTCACTTATTTGAATAAACTGTTAATGTGGGACTAATAAGAGATAGAGGCAAAGATCCTCTTTTGGACGCTCTCCCTCCTCCTGAAACCCTCCTCCCTTCGTCTCACAGGATCCTCAACTGGTGGACCCCACCCCTCTCCCTCCCGACCCGCCTCCGGCAGCCTCCTCTACCACCAAAACTGGCGCTCCCCTCTCCCTCTCCAACTCGCTCGCCCCCGTCGGTTTATACAACCGTGCCTCCTCCGACCCCCTCGACCCTCGTGCGCTCTTCGACCTCTTCGATGACTGCATGGCCTCGCACCGGTGGACCGAGGTCAAGTGCCTCTTCGGGACCTGGGTCCGCACCCTCGACAAGAATGGCAAACCCAACAGTCCCGACGTCAACCTCTTCAACCACTACCTCCGCGCCAACCTTATACTCGGCGCCTACGCCACCGACCTCCTCGACCTCGTTGCGCAGATGGATGAGTTCCGTGTCCAGCACAACACGGCGTCGTTTAACCTCGTTCTCAAAGCCATGTGCCAGGCTAACGAAACCGTCGCCGCTGATAAATTGCTCCAACGGTTAGTCTCCCAGATCGCACTCGTTGAACTGGAATAATGGAGTTCTTTAGGTCTGAAGTTTTCGGACTACTATATTAGAATTATTATTCTGGGTCTGAAGCTTATGCTTATGCATGAGCTAATTTGCAAATGCTATGATTTTAATGTTTAACTTGTGCGTAGGCTAATTTTAACTTATAAATTTGTTAATTTCATTTTTTTTTTCTTATTTTTCTCTTGTGAAAAACTTACCGAGAAGCCCGTCCAAAGAGTCTCTCTATCGAATACTATGTTTAGATGGGACTTTACTTATTCTTGTTGTTATACGATTAGGGTGAGTTCTCCATAAGCATTTTTAACAAAATGAAAATTCTAGGAAGCAAAAATAAGAAGAAAAAATAAATGCATATTCTCCTTGAACTGCACATAAGTTCAAATAAAATAATCTTTTAAAGAAGTTAATAGACGAGGGAGTTAATTCAATGTGTAATTTAATTTTGAGTTGTGGATAAATTCATTTATTTTCTTAATAGTGCTTATTATTATTCATTTATTTTCTTAGTAGTGCTTATTGGACTTTTAACGGTCCTGCAGCCATGTTAGTGGTCAAATGACCGTGATAAAAATGAGCTAGTGAGAAGGTGTTGAGCATTGACTTGTGGTTGGTTCATTGTGAGGTTTTAATTTGCACAAAGTTAGATCAAACGTTATGTTTGGATCAACCTTGTAAACACTCATAGGTTTAGAACAGTAGGAAATTAAGAAAGAAAGGTAAAATAAGTTTCTCTCTTAAATGAGAGAAGCTTCTCCCATGTATAGAAATTAACATGTGGATATGGAGAAGTTTATTTAATTTTACCATTCTATTTCTTTTTGTATAATGGGGGCAATGATGTTAAAAACTAGAATCTCGTGGAAAACCAGAATTCTCTACATCAATGAAAAGGTACCCTTGTGTTCGTAGTATGCTTATTTTTTTTACTTAAGAGGAGTTAGATCTGAATTTTGATTTTCTTTGACTTTTTTTTATTAGGATTACAATTACATGACCTCTACTACTAAAAGTAGTAGCTTTTGTCAAGTAGTTCTCTCCCTACATTATTGTCAGGAAATGAATAAGCAATTCTTTCTTTCTTCGGGATAAAAATGTTGAAATTAATGAACGACTTACATTCTCTCTGCCAATTGGGGTGAGAAACCTTGCCAAACTTACTGTGTATTGAGACACCTTTTTAACATCCGTTTGGTTTTGTTAATGAAGAAAAGTTGCTGGCATTAATGCTAGGGCAAGTGTTAGTACTTTGCATGCTATATTTAATTAGATATTCGCCAAGTTTTAAATTAGTTTTTTGGGTCTATAACTGGCTGAAGCTTACTAATATATATGTCATAATATTCATTTTCTTTCCCCTGTAACTGATTCTTTGGTATGATTGTAATTTACACATCCACTTTGTTATGGGTTTGATTTTAGGAAAATTACTTGTTTTGGAATTGCTGGTAAAACTGCTTACCAGGCAAGAGGTGACAGTGGTTTAGTTATATATTATCTTAACTAATTACACATTTAGTTAATTGTTATTGGATTCAAAAAATTGTTAGGATTTCCTGAATACTGTAATTGTTAATCTTGGTGTAGCTGAGAGTCTACCTTTTTAAAAGCCAGACAGTTAAATGACAATGATTTAAAAGTTGGAGTTGTGTCTAATTTCCAGCTGATGTGAGATTCTAGCTTCATTGTCAACTCATCAGGTTTTAAAGAACAACCTGTGCACACAAGAGGGTAGACAGAGTGGGTTCTATGTCATTTGGGGTGAGCCCACTCCTAATAGTTAGACTGTTACGAAGGCAGGCTCTGTACATCAAACAACGTTTTGTTTCTTGCACTCACATAAATGGACCTTTCTCTTGCGTCATATCCTCTCATTATTGAAAAATAATCATAAAATTGAAATGCCAATAAGCACACCAATGAGACTAACAACGGTCAAAATTACCTAGTAGTTTGTACAATGTCTTTGTCTGCGGTATTTTTATGTGTAATTGAGCACATTTTCTTCTTTATATATCAAGCTTTGCTTTCTTATTATGATATTACCAGGATGCTGCAAACAGGAAATGACGCTCTCCCTGACGACGAATCATATGACTTAGTCATTGGAATGCTCTTTTCCCCAGACCAGAGTGATACTGCATTCAAATATATAAATCAAATTTTAAAATCCAGTAATGTCTTGTCAATGAAGGTACTTATGAACTGTGTGAGGAAGGCTTGATACATTGGTGACAATAATTGAAAGGTCCAGGGTGAATGATTAGTTTTGTTGATGCATAATAAATTTTAGCTAATTTGTAACTTTGTACCTCCTTTAATTCTTGATCTGTGATTTTAGTCACTATATTTTTTCTGTGACTTTAGTCCCCATATTTTAGAAATTGATGCAGTGACTTTAGTCCCCATATAATAAAGTCATTGATGCAGTGAAATTGACATGAATAACATAAGCTAAGGTCAGGTGCATTTTACATCCTCTATATGGTTCTATATTACCATTTTCATTGTCAGTTGTTTCATTAGGTTGCATTCCAATTAATGTTGTTAATCTTGATACTTAGTTTGCCATTAATGATTGTGTGGTTAAACACACCCATATGTCAACCAAAAATACTTGTTAGCTTGAATATGTCATTCGAACATTTTTTTTTATTTTTTTAACTTCAATAATGAATATGAATTTCATGTCTCAAAAAGCCAAGTTTTTCCCTGTTATTTAGCCCCTAAGTATTAAAAATAAAAATTGGGTACTATGCATTTTGATGTTCTGCATTAAAATTTGGAAAATAAAGAAAATAAAAGTAAAGGAAGTATAGTAAGTCCACTACTTTGATGGAGTATTGCAGCATTAAGTGTATGTGAATGATAGATATTACTTTAAGGATGAATTGATGCATTCATATGTCCAGATAACTTGAGGTAAAATAATTAAACAATACACCATATTGTGAAACACATCAGTTCTGAAATAGTCGTGGTATTTTATCTCCGTCTGATTATTCAAGTGTTAACATTTTAAAGTATCCAAACATACCAAGAGGACAGAAAAATTAAAGTATAACTACATAAACAAAATCAGGAAATAGACAAGTGATTAAATGTATGTTTAATTATATGATAATATATATATATATATATATATATATATATATATATATATATATATATATATATTCTACATGTCATTGGAAAAATTGTGAAATACTTTTACATTGACCTAAACATTAGTTGAGTTCTATTCAAATGAAAATTTCAACACACAAAAAGCAAGAAAAATACTCAATTTAAGTGTTTTATCTCTTTTTTTATTTAAAGAGAAAAACCTCATGTAATTGTGAAATAATCCATAATAGACAGAAGACAAAAAATAAATTCTATGAAATTTTTGTCCTATTAGTTACAAATGGAACTAAAAAAAAGACTATTCCAATACATCAAGCTCCTTAACATGAATCATGTTCATTATTCATATATTAAAACACAATAAAAATATAACTTAGAAATACTGAAAATGAAATTTTTAGTCCTAAATTTTATAATGTCCAATTGAGAGAGGTAATTTAAGGGTTTTTTTTTCTTAAAAAGATAATTTAATCTCTCAATTTTAAAGGTTGAAGTATATTATACATAGTTTTTATATGCGAACGACGAATTTAAATAATCACTGTAAAATTTAAGTCATTAACGGGAAAAGTTTAAAAATATAAAATTAAAAATACAGTAGCATATATTTAATTGTCACAATCATACAATTATAACTTCAATATGGTTGTGGTTAATAATGGTCACACCAAAAAATAATAATTTAAAATTTATAACTATTTATAGTGATGTTTATCTAAAATATTACAATGATTTGCTACTTTTAAGTAATAAAATAGTACTAAGTATCATATAAAAATTTAATTTGTTAGATTTAAAATTATAATAATTTTTTCACTAATATAACAAATTTTAAATTTTGAAAAATATACTATTGTATTATATTATATTTATTATTTGAAAACAAAAAATATTTTTTTGCTTTAATAATTTCATTTATAAATATAATTTTTATTCGTTTGTTCCAAGTTTAAACATTTTATTTTATTGTTGTACGAGTTGACATTAAGAACATGCAATCATGCATGGTTAGTCACAATTGCATGTGTCTATAAACACATAGATATAATAATAATAATAATAATAATACTATATACAGAGGAGAGTGTACGGTACAAATGTAGAATATCGTAATTTTTAATATAAAATTATACAATTATACAAATTTATCAAAATTATGAGTTATTTAATAAAGATGACAGTTAAAAAAAATTATAAATTTATTTGGAATCATATTTGGAATGCTTTTTTCCACATAGTGATACTGCATTCAAATATATAGATCAAATTTTAAAATCCAGTAATGTCTTGTCAATGAAGGTATTTATGAACTGTGTGAGGGCATGTGTCAGAAAGGGAAGGCTTCATACATTGGTGACAATAATTGAAAGGTGCAGGGTGAGTGATTAGTTTTGTTGATGCATAATAAATTTTAGCTAATTTGTAATTTTGTTCCTCCTTTCATTCTTGATATGTGATTTTAGTCACTATATTTTTTCGGTGACTTTAGTCCCCATATTTTAGAAAGTCTGTAATTTTGGTTCAATCCTCAAATTGCAATACATATATTTCTATTTTATTTTAATTAGTTAAATTATTTCTTAATGATACTTGAAATGTATGTAACAGGTTTAGTATTCAATTAAATTAAAGTAAAAGAAATGAAAAATTGAAATAAAATGTATCTAAAGTTGGGGACTTAGATTGTAGGGAAAAATTAAAAAGAGACCTAAATTTCAATTTAGCCATAAATTTTTCTGTAAAAAATTTACTAATAATTCATATTTCTTCTATTAATGTTCTCAAATCTCATTGTTGTTTCTAGGGATCAGATCAAAACAAAGCTTTTTGCCATTAACTCGAGAGGATAATTGCAAATTAGCTTTTGATGGCCGGGAGTATATGGCTACGTGGATTGTAAAGGGTGAACGTCAAAGACCCCCTTTATTTCTGTCTGTAGATGAAGGTGACTGCTGGTAGAACCTATAATTCTGAGTTGCTACGGGCATCATGGGCTGTTTTGGACCGCTCATTGCGTAAAAAGAAAGCTCCTAATCCTGAGTCATATATTGCGAAGATATATGCCCTTGCATCATTGGGAAATCTACAAAGGGCTTCTAGTACTCTGAATGAGTTTGAGTTGGCTTATGGAGACTCTGGTCAAGAAGCTGAAGAATTGTTCTGCCCATTTACTTCATTACATCCATTGGTTATGGCATGCTCCAAGAAGGGTTTTGAGACTCTAGATAATGTATATCTTTTCCTATGATGCATATAATTTTTATTGACTCTACTAGTTTTAATATTGGCAAGTTTTCATTTGGAAATAGATTACAAAGTTTATCATTTTTGACATATATGTAGAAAAAATTCCATGTTGCTATGTCATATGTTACATTTATATTACGTCTTTCAATTGTTGATATGCATGCAACATAGATTAAATTTCTGCCATTATCTATGTAGTTCTTAATAATGTTACATTCAACTCCAACCTCTTCTAATCATGCTCTCTTCTATTTAGGTTTATTTTCAACTGGAGAATTTAAACCGTGCAGAGAATCCTTATAAATCCGTTGCTGCTCTAAACTGCATCATTTTAGGATGTGCAAACGTATGGGACCTTGATCGAGCTTACCAAACTTTTGAGTCAATTGGATCTAATTTTGGGTTGAGTCCTGATATTCATTCTTACAATGGGCTGATGTATGCCTTTGGGAAGCTCAAGAAGGTGATGATTCCTTCTCCCAACCCACTTTATATATCTTTTTGCTCATCCTATCTACTCCTTTTATTGCCCCCACATTTAGAAAGTTTACATTAGACTTTGAATCAGGTTTTTTTCTGGGCTTTGCATGCATGATGTGTGGCATATGCTACCTTCAACCCTATATATATAAGTGTCTTCTGAGAAAAGTTTTCGTCCTTTGTTATAAAACTCCTTTCAAAAATGTATTTTGCAATTTTTTTAAATCAAAATGCCCCTAATTACTTTTAGTTTGTTGTCAATAAACAATAGATGGTGTAGAATAATAAGATAAACTAAATTATCTCTTTCTTGGACGAAGATTGAGAAATATGACTTGCCACAATATTGTCCGATGTAACTGTTAGCAAATAGGTAGAAACATTGAGATGATGAGTCACAATATTTTTAAGGGTAAACTGTTAGCAAATTTAATGCCTCAGACTAAAATGAACCAATCTTTTGAATTCCTATGAATTAGTTAAAATGGTCTTATATATAAGGACAAAAGCAGTATATACGTTCTACTGTCTAACTTTACTTTGTTGTTTCAATTGTTTCTGGGATTTCATAGGATAATAGGAGGGGATGCGTAAGCTAGGTTGGAAGCTGGTGTCGGAGTGGACACCTTTTTTATAGTTTTTTTTGCTGCTTAATTATTATATACTGCAGACGTTAAAGAAAATTATGTACTACAACAAGACATGGTGTGTCAAACAAAGAAAACTCACTTGTTTAATTATCTTGTGGCAGACACATGAAGCTTCAAAAGTGTTCGAGCACCTAATGAGTCTGGGTCTCAAGGCTAATGCAAAATCATATTCTCTACTCATTTATGCCCACTTGATTAATAGGGATGTCAAATTTGCCCTTGTCAGTGATTGATGATATGGTATCTTCATTGTTCTTTTATCTTAGAAAAATAAATTTATGTTTGCCAGCAAAGGTCATTGATTTATATCAAATTCTTTGGTAGAGAACTGCTGGATTTAAACCGTCAAAAGAGATTCTAAAAAGTGTCGCGGCGATGCATGAGAGAAATGGACTACGAAAGTGATGACCGGGTTCAGAAGCCCGGCGGGACATTCTGTTTAATCTTTATTACTGTGTGGGATATGCTTAAATGGTATGTTTTGACAATTTAAGACAAGTTGCCACTTAGAACATGATTTTTTAGAAAATGTAAGGATTATTTGATTTTGGAAATGTTCTTTGTTTTCGTTTCTCATTTTTTTTTCACTATTTATTTAACAAACTCTTAAAGTAGGAAAACAAGTAAAAATAAAAACAGAAAAAAAAAAAAAAAATATATATATATATATATATATATATCATTTCAAATGGTCCCATATTTTTATTCAGAGTGAAAATATTTACTTTGAGAATGTTTTATATATGCATTTAGTTTAGTCTTGTTTCTTTCAAACAAATGCTGTCAAGGCTTCTAGAGGAATGTCTATAATTGTTTTGTTTATGGTTTCCCCCTTGAATATTGTTTTCACTAAACCCACTCTTATTTGATATTATGCAGTTCTTTTTGGCAGGTGCGGTGTTTTTTATGTCCCAATGAATCATTGGAATATTTGGCATATCTTTTATTGCATCCATAACCAAGGGAATCACTTTGTATATTAGTGGATGCTATTCTTGTAGCCGAATCATGATCATTCAAAAATCACCCACAACCTTTTTCTATTTTGTTTATGAAGTGGAGGTGGGGGTATTACTGATGGAATTAGGTTTTCTAGTAAACACCCAAAGCAACAAATCTTATAGCAAATTTATGCGAAATAATTGTATAATTGATCCAATTTTAGAAGAGAGGATAAAATCAAGGGACACTTCTCTTATGGGATTTTTCTTGGGGAGGGTGTTGACACTGCCTACTTTTCATCACAACCTAGTGTGGCATCTATTAGAAGCCGCAAGAATTTGGAGATTGTTTTTATGGTGCCATGGTTGTACTAAATTCTACTGCAAATAATGGTGTAGCATTTTCAATCAATTGCTCGGTTTGATCATGTTTAAAATAATTAGTGATAAATATCTATTTGTGGAAAAAATGCTGTGGTTGGAACATTGTGAAACAAATTTGTGAAAAGAAATTATCAGATGACTAAGTGTGTTGTGAAACAAATTTGTTAACTTCCCAGGCTAAACAAATGAGGTTAGAAAAATATTTTTAAACTAGTCTCAATTAACAGAGAATTAAGATATATATATATATATATATATATATATATATATATATATATATATATATATATAGGAACATAATATTTGTCATTTCTTAGTTGTTTGTTATTTGTAGTTATTATATAATTTTATATTGAAAAAAAAATTGTGGAATGCATGAGTTAAATTGTTTATTATGTATTTACTTTTAATGTTTGATAACAAATTTATTAGTTAAATAAAAAAATTATGATTTAAATTAAATTGGGTAACTTTTTGTTTGTTGTAATATCTAGTTTATTTAAAAATATGTACTGAAACAATACATTATTTTCAAGATAACCCCTCTCTCATCTGACACCATTACACTTTTCCTTTTAATAGCAAGAACCATCTACTTATTCAGTATCTCATCAAACAGTTTTGGTCTTCAATGGCACCAAATCATCAAGGACTAATATCGAAGATGATTTATCTCATCATCACTTAATTTTGTTTTATTCTAGAAACTAATAACAAAGATGAGATTTTATTTTATTCTGGAGACTAATAACAAAGATGAGAGAATTATTTATTCATGAACTTTGCAATTGACTCTAATAACAAAGATGAGAAAATTATTTATTCATGAACTATTTGCAATCGACTAATAACAAAATAACAAGTCTCACTTTTCTAAACTTAACACTTTCTCATCTACTAAGACATAATTAATTCTTCAAAATATCAATTTTATAATTTCTATATTATTTTTTAAATGGTCAACAAAAGATTTTTTTTTAAATACGTTAAAATTTTAATGCAAGAATTAATTTCTGAAAAAGGATACACGATAATTCTTGTAAAAGTGTCAATCTATAACTATAAATAAAAAATATATATAAAAAGTAGCAAAAACTTTTTTTCTTATTTTCTCATAGCAAATAAAGAGCAATGTTTATGAATTTAATCTACATTTAATTTTTATGACAAAAACTTCTCATTTAAAAACCATCTAGGAGTATATATGAATCATAATCAACTTAAACAAAATAAATACAAGCGAAGGAAGGAATGAGATGCTTATAAGGGTAAATGAAATTTGTTCATTGCTTCAACTGATCACTTTATTTATATAAGGCAATAAAAAGAAAAGGTTTGAAGTACAAAAATTAAAAGACAGACACAGATCTTCTGAGAGCACAAGAATCATGAAATGACCCTATTGTCTGGTCCAAATCCTTTGCAAGAAAAGCTGACAAATACCCTCTTTGATACCTTACATATTTCACTATCGAATCATGGTCAATGTTGCAGAAGCAGAAGAATGCATAATAAGGAACCTTTAACAGTGATTAAAGCAACTAAAACAACTACAAACATGTTAGATTTCAGAAAATCATTTAACAAGAAAATCATGTAAAGCAGACAACTTATTATGCACACAGCTCAGGCTCGGTAGGTTTGGCTTCTTCCGCTTTAATGTTGTCCTCACCTGCATATGATAGCATTAGCTTTTTAGTAGGTTCGAAGTATGTTAGTATGAACCAATAAAAGGAAACATGATCATGTTGTTAACTCGGAGTGACTCAGATGAAGACACCACCCCTGAAACAATGACTTCTGATCTTTCTTCATGATTATCAATCCTAGAGCATGCAGTTTTATTTTTCTCTTTTCATCCTAATTTAATTTTTTTTCACAGTTTAAGAGGGTGCAAAGTGTGTGGATTGCAATGATATTGAACAAGTGTACATCAACCATTTTTGTTTCTAGGACATCATTATTGAGCAACATATGGTACAATATTTATTGCTTTCCCTTGGCAAAAGTCAAATGCATCTTATATCAAGTTTCAATCATTTCCATACCTCCATCCTCTGGCAAATCAGAGGTCCAAAGTGTCAAGTTGTCTCTCAAAAGCTGCATGATCAAAGTGTTGTCCTTGTATGACTCTTCACTCAGGGTGTCCAACTCTGCAATACAAATTCAGACAAGAGTTAGCAACAAATGCACTTCAATGGATCCATGCAGATTGAGAGAACCAATGACTTACCTTTCAGGAGACTTCATTATCTCACACTAAAAGAGAGAAATTGAGTGCAAGCCCAAGTCGAATTGGTTGTGTTACCTTTCAAGAGAGTTCATTATCTCACACTAAAAGAGAGAAATTGAGTGCAAGCCCAAGTCGAATTGGATGTGTTGACGGGATATCTGTGTGGCTGAAGCAGCCTAATAATTACAACATAGATGAAATCAAATGACAATGTAATGCATAACATAAACAATTTATGAACTAATTCAGTGCTGAAATACAAGAGATAGAAAAATTACCTCATATCCTTTTAACGACTGCTCAGCTGCCTCTTTCCTTTCTTGGTGAGTCTTGAACTCAGCAAGATATCGAAAATAATCACCTTTCCTGACTCAAAATAAGAATAAGGAAATCAGGAATACCAAAACAAAATGTGATAATAATAACAAGCATAATGTAAAATAAAAAAAATAAAAAAATCCAATGACTCATTCATAGCATTGGAGTACCTATAGAGCCAAGAATTACTCGAGCTAAGGGTTACTCTACCAATCGGGTAGACAAAAAAATTGGTCATCAAATCATTATATACATACATATTCTATCTATGCTTCAGAGACTAGTCCTGATATATATTTTCAGGATTTAATCATAAAAGATCATTATAACTACACAAAGAAGAAAATACTCTAAAAAAAATATGGTGATAAAGATAATGACTCAGAACTGGGAAGTAATTGAATTAATCAAATCCATGACAAGGAAGTGTGGCAGCATAACTCACATAGAAAAGACTAGCTCTGCTCATCCAGAGGAAGGAATCAGGTGTTGGTCTATGATAGTCAGAATATCACCCCAAATTTTGGAGAGTTATTCCTCAACTTTTTGGCTCAGTTTAAGGGTTTAACATTGTCCTCATTTCTCTTAAACTCTTCCTTCTGCTCAATCGAGGACATGATGCGCCAAGAGGCTCTCCGTGCACCAACGACATTTTTGTATAAGAGGTTCATTTCTTCCACAGTCGGATTAAAATCAAGTTTTGTTACTTTCTTCGTACACTCAACCATTTCTGCATAATAAATATTAAGTTTCAAAAGAATATTATTGTGTCGATACAAAAACTAGAGCAATCAAGGCTTTTCTAACTAGCCTACGGGGTTCAAACTGCTCCTCTGACTCCGACTTTGGTTCTGGATCCGACCCAGGAGGCCCCACAGTCTCCAATATGAGATGGTTTTTAAACCTACTAGTATAAAAAATAACTTTAATAAAAAATAAAAACAAAGAAATATTACCCGAATGAGATGGTATGCTAGACAACAATGGAACTCATACTGCCATAATTACGCGATCTTGATCATATCATTTTCTAGCTCATCAAAGAAGGAATCAATGTATAACGAAATTTTTTCAACCGTGACAAGTATTCGTTTTTTAATTACTCAAATAGTATATTGTAGGTTTTATTTACCTACATAGCACAATATTTTTGTTAAGTTGAGAATTCGATTATCTCGGTATACGAAATCGAACGTAATTGCATTTTATAATTTTTTCAAACAATTTAGAATTCGATTTTTGGTAACCAAATTCTGAATATTTATTTTTTTATTTTATTAAGAAAAAAACTAACTTTTATATATATATATATATATATATATATATATATATATAATATGTTATAATATTTTATTTA